GAGCTTATAGAGAGTCATTTATTTATTAGGAAATTCGAAATTCTCCTCTTGCTTATCACTTGTTTCATTATATATATTGAGAGGGATTTTGTAAAGCTCTTAGAGAGCATTTCTTTGTTGTGAGGTTTTTGTTGAGTGCGAAAGAGTTAGTCTCTTGTAAGCACGTATTGATAAGTGCGAAAGATTGAGTCTCTTGTAAGCACGTCGTTGGTGCGAAAGTCGTTAGAGTCTTGTAAGCACATCTTTTTTTCGTGTGGAGGATCCAAGGATCTTGGAGGCACGTGGAATAAAGTTCGAGGGGCTAGAAGAGTGGAGTAGGGGAATTTCTCCGAACCACTATAACTTTGGTGTCATTTACTTTACGCACTTTATTATATCGTATTCAAATTTCCGCACTCATATATTTTTTATTGCTAAAACTTTATTCGGAATTAATTTGGAAGTTTGCAAAATATTTATTATCAAAGAAAAATATATTTTTCTAAAAATAATTTAATTCTGCAAAAATATTAAGAAGTTTTGAAAAGCCTAATTCACCCCTCACGGATCTTGCTTGCTTGGCAATTGTGTTGTCATCATCAGACAACGGCGGCACTTCTCCCATTGTTTAATAGTTGGTACCATTGAGCGGATATAGATTCGTGATCGTGTGCATACTATTGGCCCCTCATATTTTCCGGCGTATTTCTCAAAGTGAGCCGGTTATCAGGAACTTGTTCCTTCAACAATGAACCGTACGCCCTTAGCTCATTTTCATCCATCGCGATAGCTAAGTCAGCCTCCCCAAATGTATTGCAAATGCTAAGTGATGGAAAACGAACAAATAATTTAAGAAAATAAGAGAGTTTGTAAGAAAGTACTTGTGCTTGAATGCTTAGAATTTCCTGCGCGGTTACAAATGAAGTCCCTACTTCTATTATACTTGACCACCTCCTCAATGGATGGTGGAGATCTATTTGATCTAACGGCTAGGAGTTGTTCACCTGAATACTCCAAGGAATTCCTACAAAATTTCTACAAAGGAGGATTCAGGAAAGTATTTTATAATCCTCTAAGAATCTCTACTAGGCCTATTTACATTTGGCTAACTTGGGTCTAACCTTATTTGGGCTAAGTCTTGGATTCTTTATTGAACTTAACCTCTCCAACCCAAGGAAAACTGGCAAAGGGTTTGGCCCAAACTGACGCGTCGTGACACGGTATACATGATATACATATGTGCCACGCTGACTGCCGTTTTAGCTATCGGGTTAGTTACCGACAACATTGAATACTTAGTAATCTCAATTTGAAAGAGCTTTCTATATGCATTCATTTTGAAGAGTGAAACTAGAAGTTTAAAACTAATAGATAACATAATAACGTTTGTTCGACTTCCTTCCCTTACAACCATTAGCAACACCAAAGTTATCTAAGGTGGGCAAATACAATATGAATTCAATTATTTGGCGATCCATAACAACAGGTTTGTCATCTTCTTCTTATTCTTTTTCTTTTTTGTACGGAAACATGAAAAATTTCTTTTAAAACCTATGATTCCTATACATATATCACTCATGTTTTGTATTCACATATTGAGTTAGTTTTGTAATAGACAAAGGCGTAACTTTGTATCAAGTTCCCCTTCTGCTTTCAGAGGTTGACGATTATAAACAGGCGTGCCATTGTTTTTGTCCATGAAACATGGGTATTTTCTTTTGCCAATTTTATTCTTGTTATAGAAAAATAACTGATACTAAATTTAATTTAACTTGAATTATGTATAAAATTAGGGACAGTTATTGAAGCATACCAAATATTCACCGTTTCTGTATTTGGATAATCCAAAAAACATTGATTTTATCTAGCACCATTTTGAACTTCTTCATGTTATCATACGTATTATATGGATTTCTTACATTCGACATTCATATATTTTACTCTAATCGTCAAAAAACTTTCTCGTAGTATGTTAATAAGCAAAAACCCCACAACATTCAATTATTTTTAGCAAACTACTTCTAAAAATATATCATTTAGGGATTATGTGCTGATGAAAAGGAATTCATTGTAGTGTAGGGTAATTTTCACTAATAATATTATTAAAAAAAAAAAAAAAAAAAAAAAAAAAAAAAAAAAAAAACTGAATATTTTAGGAATCCAAAATAACAAAATAAAGATTTTTTTTACAATTCACATTATGTTGAATACGGGTATTCGATGCTACACCCGGTGATAATCACCGGTGTCTAATATCATGACACGTGGTAATCCTTTAGTTTTAATATATTTCTAAACCATGTTAACTTTATCTCTTTTACGGGGAATACGATGCTACACCCGGTGATTTTCACCGGGTAGCTCTCTTCTTCACATCTGTCCTTTTTAATTTATTTTATAATTATATTTCTAAAACCCCATGGGCTATAACTGAACCCGTAGTGGGAATCTTATCAATTAGGGTGCCTGGTTATATTAACCAGGTGTAGCATCGATATTGCCCTTGTTGATTTTAAATGCCTATGAAAATCTATTCATCTATTGAGACAGATTTAGTATTACGACATTATGTGTGGTAACAGAATTCTTGTGTTGTCACAGTAACTAATCTACTAAAAGCAGAATAAAGAACACAAGAATTTAATGTGGTTCGGATACAAATGTACGCTACATCCACGAGTACTTGCAAAACTAGTTCAGATTTAAGTGTACATTAATAGGACTTAATAAAAAAACTAAAAACTAAAGACTCTTTATGTAATATGCCGTTCTTGCACACGACTCGAACTTGTTGATAATCAAAGCAATTCCTCCTCCGCACTCTTGGACTCTCTCCAATGTTGAACTCCTTTCAACGGCGGATCGACCTCTCCTGAGATCTTTTAAGCACTTCTCCCGAAACGCCGATCTTCTTTATGGCCTGGTAAAACAAACTCGTTCTGTTGCCACACCTGATGTGCCGACAGGGCTGCAGCACGGGCTGCACCCTTCAAAGCCTTTATGCTAGGATTTTTCTTATTAAAGCTCCATGGGACTCATATGAGGTTGAGGACCTTATATAGGCACGAAATCCACCACCCTAAACCTAACTTGAGCCCTAAGAAATCGATTAACTAGGTAATAAAATCCTAGTCGATTTCTACTTCTATTCTTGATAAATACAAAAGATACCTAACTAGAATACAATACATGGAAATAAATCTAAGTCCTAATAACAATATTAGGAGAATAGGACTCTAATTAATTCCAAAATAAACATGAAAAACAAATCTTTGCCAATCTTTAATTTCCATGTATGGCGAATTTCTTCACTCTTCACTAATAGAAATCTGGCGCCATCAGCCCTCTTTTACCATGTCCCCGTCAATAAAATAACTGATACAAATTTTATTTCTTTCATCTGCTTCATTCTTTCATAAACGAGAATTGGCACCTTCCTCTTTACTGCATATACCAAATTCTCATCCATATACAATTTCTCTGTGATTCTCGATCTCCATTCCAATAACCATTCTGTAATGATAATTTTAATTTTATTTTAACTTTATTTAAATTGTACCTCATGAATTTTGGGATAATCTACTATATGTACGGATTGTTTGGAGTAAAATTTTCACCAAAAGTGCACAACCCAAAAGATTGCAAGAATGCAGAAAGAAATCACTGACAAAAAATGTAATGAACGAAGACTAGATTTATGTACACACACAATTGCTATATTCAAGGATATAATTAGATGAACAAGGGATATCTTGAAAACCCAATAGGAATTTCCCTTTCGGGAGAATTAAAATTTCCGACCCTCATATTTGGTCCGATTCCACTTTTGGTCTCCCTTGTTCCAAAGTGAACAAATTTCACCTCCACGGTTAAATTTCAAACACATTTGGTCCCATCCGTTACGTATCCGTTTACATCTAACGGAAAACTATTGCTGGAAAAAAAATTGAAGTATTATTTATAATTATTGTTTTTAATAATATTTAGTATAATAAAAAAGAAAATAAATCATATTTAATTTTCACAAATAAAATGCAAAAAATTAATATTATTTATTTCTTTTTATTGTACTAAATACTATTAAAAAAGTTAATTATAAATAATACTTCAAATTTTAATAATTATTTTTCCAGCCTCAAAAGAATTTTAAATTTCACTTTTGGTCCCAAAAAAATATATAACTAAAATCTCATTTCAACTAATAATTTGTCCATTAATCACTTCTTTTGTTTGTGAGAAGGACAGTATTTCCTGGTATTAACATATCAACTTCCCGTTACCTTCATCCCAGAAGATATTACAATATCGTGAAAAATACAGTTTTCATTCCTTAAGTTTGCACTGATTTCATATTTGACCCCTCATATTCGTAAAATTTACACTTGGTCGCTCAGGTTTCAAAAGTTAAGCACTTTTAGTCCTTTATGTAGTCCTTTTTTTTTAGTACTAACAGAATCAAGTGTGTGCCAATAACTGCCTTAACTATCAGACTAACGGTAAATTGATGGATATAATATAAAATGTTAAATTATTGAAACATAATGTACCAAATATGTTTTTTGTGAATACGAGGAACTTAATGTGAAATGGGTGCAGGAGTCAACACTATAATTTTCCCTTACAGTATCAGTCAACATAACCCACAATAATAATTAAGTAATTAACACTTTCTAAGAACATGGGTGCACAAGAAGTCAATGAGATGGCTTAGTGGTTGGGATGCCATTATTTTAGTACAATATAAAATTGAACCTGTCTGTGTTTACAAGAAATTGACGATGACTTTATGCCAACTAGCAGCACACTTGACTTTGGTATATATTTTAACCAAGGTTAATTGTATGGTTAGTCAGTTAGCATGGTCTGAAACAAGGGAGGGAAAAAAAACCAAAGAAGCCTCACTTCTCAGTTCTCACCCATTTTCTATTTGCTCAAAAAGTCATCTCTCTCTCTCTCTCTCTCTCTCTCTCTCTCTCACACACACACACACTCACACACACACACACATTCTCAAGAAAACAATGGCGGGTGAAGCTGTGCTAGGAGCTTTCGTTCAAGTTCTACTTCAAAATTTGATCTCAATTTCGGTGGAGCAAATTAACCACGTTAGATATTACAAGAAACAGTTGAAAAAACTGAAGGATTGTGTCTCGATGATTCAGAGTTTCTTGAACGATGCGGAGAAGAAGCAAGTCACAGATGAAACTGTCAAACTCTGGTTAAGGAAGCTTGAAGGTGTGGCTTTTGATGCCGATAATCTTTTGGATGAGCTCAACTACCAACATCTCTCAAAGAAACTTCACACCGAATACAGAATCGGGAAAAAGGTACGAGACTTCATCCCACACTCCATTAATCATCTGAAAATGGCACTTAGAATCAGGGATATCAATAAAAACATGGAAGATATTAATCACGAGGCGAGCAACTATGGCCTTCAGAAGGCAGTGATCGGTGCATATACTCCGGTTGATGGATCAGGTCCATCTGCAGTACGTCTAGAAACTGATTCATTCAGTATTGATCCAATTTTTCTTGGAAGAGAAAATGATGTGTCTAAAATTGTGAAGATGATGACTAGAGTTCCAAACGATCAAGTATTCTCTATCCTTCCAATTGTTGGTATGGGCGGACTTGGAAAATCGACGGTAGCTAGACAAGTATTTAGTCATGAAGTAATAAGGAATCATTTTGCTAAGCGTTTTTGGGTGTATGTTTCTAAAAATTTTGATGTCATGAGTCTTTTCAAAAAGATTCTTACATCATTAGCCGGAACAAACGCCGAACTTGGAAATAAACAAGCTGTTTTGGAAGAGCTTCAAAAATATTTGGGAACTGAAAGATTTCTAATTGTCCTCGACGATGTTTGGAATGACAATCAAGAAATATGGGATGATTTTGTTAATCCCCTTAGGAGAATTAGTTCTTCTACGGGAAATGGCATCATTGTTACTACGCGACGTGAACATGTTGCTTCACTCGTGACAACACTTCCTATTCACCAACTAAATAACTTGTTAGACGATGAGTGTTGGTCCATAATCAAAGCAAAAGCCGTTGGAGAAGGTACTATTATTCCATCAGAACTTGAGACCATTGGAGTACAAATTGCAAAAAGATGTCGAGGTTTGCCATTGGCGGCCAAAGTGGTTGCAGGATTGTTGCGTGGAAAGTCGATGGATGGGTGGGTCTCTATTCAAAAGAATTGGCTCTCAGATTTAACAGATGAAAATTCAATTTCTAAGATTTTAAAACTGAGTTTTGATCATTTATCGTCACCATCACTCAAAAAGTGTTTTGCATATTGTTCGATATTTCCTAAAGGGTTTAACATGGAAAGGAAAAAAATAGTTGAACTTTGGATGGCAGAGGGCTTTCTTCACGGAACTGATATGGAGATTGTGGGCAACCAGTTCTTTGATCTGCTTTTACAAAACTCCTTGTTATTACAAGTTGTGGGGAGAAATGACTATTATGGCGATATAACATATTATAACATGCACGATCTTGTGCATGATCTAGCATCGTCTATTTTAATTTCAAGTGTGCAAGTTCGGTACAAGTGTCTGCAATCTAGTGAGTGTGAATCGCATGATATCCTGAATGAACAAGCAAGTTATCTGCGTTCGTTACTGTCCAATGATAAAATATGTGTTCGCATGTTCTCGGAGTTCAAATCCTTGCACGTTTTAATTCTTATGGGAAATTGTGTTGAAGAGTTGCCAACTTCAATAGGAGTGCTAATACATTTGAGATGTCTTGATATTTCCGACACAAAAACTAAATGTTTCCCAAACTCAATTAGTGAACTCTATCACTTGCAGACATTAAGAGCAAGTGATGTTTTGGAGGCACTGCCAAACACAATGAAAAACTTGATTAGCTTGAGACATCTTCACATTCCTAAAATAGAATTGCCTCCAGAGATGGGAAGATTAACTTCTCTTCGTACTCTACCATACTTTGGAGTGAGCAATGAAAAGGGTTGTGGAATTGGTGAGCTTGGGAGCTTGAAGAATCTAGAAGGGGAACTCAAGATTTATAATCTTGAAAAAGTGCATGACAAAGAAGAGGCTAAGAGAGCAGATTTATTACAAAAGTCAAACATAGTCAAGTTAAAGCTTGTGTGGAGTAGTGGAAATAGAGAAGGTGAAAATGGTGATGAAAGTGTGTTGGAAGGCCTCCAACCCCATGCAAATCTAAAAAGCTTAAAGATTTGCCAATACAGAGGACAAAGTTTCCCATCATGGTGTTCAAAGATGTCGGGGCTTAATAATTTGATAGAGATAAGACTTCAACATTGCCCAGAATGTGAACAAGTTCCAATGTTGAGGCACTTGCCACATCTAAAGAATCTTTATTTGTTTAGCCTGAAGAATGTGCAATCCATAAGTTCGTCGTTCTACGGAATCGACAATTGTAGTACATCAAGTAATACAATTACTGTGTTTCCGGCACTTGAAAGGCTCGAGTTGGTAGAAATGTGGAAGCTAACAGAGTGGTCAGAAGCAATGCTGATGCCAAATGCAACCGAAAATCAACGATTGTCGCAAGTACTACTCGTGGTATTTCCTCGTCTTAAATACTTGACGGTCATGGATTGCAGGCAATTGAAGAGTGCTCCGAGTCATTTTCCATGCCTTCAAGAATTGGAGATTTCTCAAGTGCACAGTGAATTACCTTTGGCGAGTATATGTGGAATCAAATTAATCACACTTACAAAACTCAAGATTCAAGCAATTGAAGGACTCGTGTGTCTCCCGGATTGGCTATTTTGCAACAATCAAAATCTCTCGCAGTTGAATATAAGTGATTGTCACAACTTAACGCATCTAGTTCCATGCTTGGGAGGTGGAGGAACTGCTATGAGGGACTTCGTGATATGGGATTGTCCGGAATTGAGAGAATTACCGGATGATTTACACAATCTCAATGCTCTTGAGATATTGAGTATACACGATTGTCCAAATCTCAGAGAATTACCAGATGATCTACACAACCTCAATGCTCTTGAGATATTGAGGATTTCGAAGTGCCCGGAACTAAAGACAATACCATATCCACACGATCAACAATTATTATTAGGTTTGAGCCGCCTTCATGAACTGAGTATTACTGAATGCCAAAGATTGACCAATTTGGCAAGTGAGATGATAGAGTCATGTGCGCCTTCCCTCGAGAAGTTGGAATTGCCTCAACTGACGGTGAATATGGAACCGGTGACCGGGAGTTTGCAAAGAATGTCTCGTCTCAAGTGGTTGACGATTGGGGATGTAATGATGAGGATTACTCGTAAATATGGGAACGACGAGTGGCGGATATTGAATTCGAGTACTTGTTCTGAGTCAATTTCAGTTGTCGACGCCATCTTGAAAGTATCAACTAAATCTCTTTGTAGATTAGTGTTGTACGGGACAGAGCAAAATCAGGATCTACCGGAACAAGTTCAACATCTCAATGCGGTTTCTGAGCTATTGTTAATTGGTTTAGGAGAGATGGAAGAATTGCCTGAATGGTTTGGGAACAACAACTTGTCGTCTGTGAAGAGATTATGTCTATCTCACTGCAAGATTTTCCGCCGTCTGCCGTCTAAAGAAGCCATGCTACGTATCACCAACTTAGAGATCTATGAATGTCCGCTGTTAAATGTAAAGAAGTTACCGGATGGAAACGACGGTGATTCCGAATGGCCCAAGATCTCCCATATCCCCTACGTAGCTGTGGATGATCGAATAGTAATTACAACTAGTGCTCACTAAAATGTATGTATACTGACTTGTATTTCTTTTCTTTTATTTTTTTCTTTTTGTTCCAGTCTCCAATTTTTTTTCTTTTTTTTCTTTTTTTTTTTTTTTTTTTTTTTTTTTTTTTTTTTTTTAATGTGGTTGAGTTGTTGATACAATAGAATTTGATTGGACCAAACACTTCGGAGAAACTTAATAGAATGCAATGGATAGAAAGCATACTAGTTGGTGAGTGGTGAATAAACTGATAATAGGTATTTTGGCTTTTCCATATGTAATAGTTGGGATGATTACAGTTTTGGTTCCTAGACTTGCCACCTAAAATGATTTTTGTCCTCAAAAATTTTCTACCACGAATTTAGCCCTCAAACTTAACAATTTTAGTTGGCCGTCAAATCTTCTGTTAAGTTGGATGGAATTTCGGGATTGCTTTTTTGTTGAAATGAAATTGTGGGGGCTTGAAATTGGGGCAAGCTGCCATATGGACTAGGTGTGTTCCAGTTGTCTTTTTTATTGCCACTTAGACGTCATGTCACGTAAGGCGCACGTGACATTTCTCTCCAAGTTAACTTGAAAAGTTGACAGCCGTGTGGAAGTGTCAAAATGTGGTAAGATTGAGGACTAATTTCATGAACTTAAAAGTTTGAGGAATTAAAATCGTTTTAGGTGGCAATATAAGGACCAAAAGTGTAATTATCCCTCTAACTTTTTGATGGTTTTTTTTTTGGGAAATTTACACTTTTTGTCCCTCAAATTTACGTGGATTTTGACATTTGGTCCACTATATTCATAATAAAAAAAAAAGTAGTCCAAAAGAAAAAGAGATTTAGTCCTTCATGTTTCAGTAATTTAACATTTTTTGTCATTTACGTTATTACTAATGGAATCAAGCATGTATCCATCATTTTCTTAACTAACAGTAAATTGACGAAAATAACCAAAAGTGTCAAATTGTTGAAACATGAGAGACCGAATGTGTCATTTTTGTAAACATGGGGATCAAATGTGAAACATATGCAAACTTGAGTGACAAAAAATTATTATGGGAGAGGGGGAAATAGAAAGGAAAAAATTGCGCACAAAGACAAGGTCTAGATTAAATAATTCTTGCTTAATCTTTGCAAAAGTAAGCAAAATTATTAAGTTTTTATCTACAAAAATGAAAAGTGTTATTGATTTTATGGGAAAATTACAGTTTTTATCCCTCAATTTGCACTGATTTCGCGTGTGACCCCTTATGTTCACAAAAAACATATTTGGTCCCTCATGTTTCAATAATTTAACAGTTTTGGTCATTTTCGTCAGCTTAATATTAGTCTGTCAGTTAAGGCAATGATGGGCACACACTTGATTCCGTTAGTTTTTACGGAAAATTGACAAAATGGACTAAAAATGTTGAATTTTTGAAACATGGAGGACCAAATGTGAAATAGATGCAAACTTGAGTGATGAAAACTGTATTTTTCCCTTGATTTTATCCAATAATAGAATCAAATGTTTGGCATTGGCATACAAAATGTATGGTGTTCATCGTCAATTTATTGTTACTCCGTCAGTTAATACATTGATGGACACGTGCTTGATTTCGTTGGGTAGTAACAATAAATTGACCAAAATGACCAAATGTGTTAATTTTTTAAATATGATGGACTAAATCTGTTATTTTGTAAACAAGGAGGACCAAATGTATAATCGAGGTAAACTTAAGGGACGGAAAATTTATTTTCCCGTAACAACACTATTTCATGGTATTACAATATCAGCCGACATAACCCATAATAATTAACAATTAGTAACCATTGTATCATAACATGGTTTTACATCGTTAGAATAATAAACCTAGAGATTTAAGGTAGATTGGCAAATTGCAAGAACTCAAAGAGGAAATTTTCTATGCATAGTGATATGCCTAATTGGGCCAACCCAATGGGCCTACAATTTCTTTACCTACTGGGCTACGAGCCCAATATCGAAGACCAATATCACCGAGGCCCAAACACCTTCAAGTAAGGCTTGGGCCCAACGAAGCAAACCCAACCCCATAAACGACATATAAATAGAGGTTGAACTCATTCCTCAAGGTACGTCCTATTAATTGAGCAATACTAAAACGCTTATTCTCTGGACTATTTCTATGATCAGCACGTCTGACGTGAGCGTCGGAGGGGTTTCCGCCGGATCAACCCCCGGCCTAGTTCATGTGTTCTATGATCGCAGGTACCTCAGGATCATCAAGTTGTCAAGCTACTGATTCGCTTTGCTCTCCCAGTTCGTTTTCTACACCACCCTAGGTGAGCTATATTTTAGCATCATCATTTTGGCGCCGTCTGTGGGAACGATACAAACCATATCACATAGCCAACAAGATCCTCGTGAGGCGTCAGCTCGGAGAAAAAATAACACAGCTAATCAAGATCCTCCTGACGCGTGAGCTCGGAGAGAAAATGACACAGCTAATCAAAATCCTCATGAGGCGTCAGCTCGGAGAAAAAATAACACAGCTAATCAAGATCCTCCTGAGGCGTCAGCTCGGAGAGAAAATGACACAGCTAATCAAAATCCTCCTGAGGCGTCAGCTCGGAGAGAAAATGACACAGCTAATAACCTCCCAATCCGTGGAGGATCTGGAATGCCACCTCCTTCACGTGCCGCGGAGCCAGCTCCTCCACGTGCTGCAGATCCACCTCGCGAGGTTCAGGTGATCCCCCCTCGGGACCCACCACTCGCTGATCCACTACTCCTGCTCCTCGAATGGTTCAAATAACCGAGGATGCGCTTCAACGCATGATAGCAGAAGCTTCAACTCGCGCTGCCATAGAGGCCGTGACCCAATATATCGCCACGATGGGAGCAAATGCTCCCAACGCGATACCAGCACCTGCTCCACATGTGGAGCCACCTATGGCACCACCGCCAGTCCAGAACCAAATAAGTGTCTCCTCCTCTACTTCGGACCCACGGTCCCGAATGCAACAATCTACTCATCGCCAAGATGCACGAATTGAGCGACGAGACCCATGTTCACCTTCAAGAGGCAACACCTCTCACCAACGAGCTCATCCACACAATGGTGGAGAGGTTGAAATTAGCAAACAACTATCTCGCTCAAATCACCTTCCCCCCATAGGTAATACCATTGGTGGAAGGACAATACCTCCAATAAAGCACAATCCCTTCACTGTCGCAATAATCAATGAGATACTACCCCAACGGGTAAAGGTCTCGAATCTACCGCAGTTCGATGGAACTGGTGACCCACAGGAGCACCTTGAAAAGTTCTACGCCATGGCAGATCTATATGGCCCAACTGATGCGGCAATGTGCAAGATGTTTCGCACAACGCTCTCCGAACGTGCGTTGAGCTGGTTCAACTCCTTGCCCACTGGGTCGATTGAAGCTCTCTCCCAACTAACAGATCGCTTCACCCACCATTTCGCTATCAACAAAGAGTACGCAAAGACTCCCGCGTACCTCTTCACTATCACCCAGAGAGAGGGCGAGACCCTCCGCAACTACATTCAACGATTTGTAGAGGCATCTCACAAAGTTCCTAACGTGGGAGGAAGCATGCTCGCTGGAATCATTCAACAAAACTTGAAGGAAGGTAGATTCAAGGAATCTATTGCAGGAAGACCTCCAACCACTCTGGAAGAGTTACTAAGTCGCGCTGAGAAACACGTGCGCATCGAAGAGGCTTCGGCCCTCCCTCCTCCCAAAAGGAAAAGAGATGATGATTACTTCAACACCCGGCGATGAGATGGCCGACGACAATCGTCAACATCTCATTGATAATCTCCTTATACTTCCAATGATGTCAATGACATTTGGAGTCTATCGAGCCCATAACATTGTTCGTGATCACATCATCCTAAACTGGGGGGCTATCATACCTTAAGGATGATACATCCCCTCACCTCTCGACATCAATTGAACGAAACACTTACATCATCTACTTAGTACAAGTTTATTTATTTCGAGCGATTCGCTCCCTACTTGTTTATTTACCTTCGCCTCAAGTAGGCTCGAAGCTTCACCTTTTCAATCAATGAATAAAGCTAGTTATTTTCTTTACTCTCGGTGTTATCGCTCTTTCAACACATAATTATTAGCTCAAGTCAACATAAAATCTGGGGGTTTATAATGCCCCCAAAATATTTCGTTCACCAAGGGTTATCGACTCCCTAGGGGCTTACCTCTGCCCCCAAAATATCTCGCTCGCCAAGGGTTATCGACTCCCTAGGGACTTACATCTGCCCCCAAAATATTTCGTTCACCAAGGGTTATCGACTCCCTGGGGGTTTATAGTGCCCCCAAAATATTTTGTTCGCCATGGGTCATCGACTCTCAGGGGGCCTACTTCCGCCCCCCCTCAACAGTTCAGATAACCGAAGAGGACCTTCAACGTATGATCGCTGAAACTTCAACAATATCAACTTCTACTTGCTCCTCTAACTGTTCTTATAACCGATAATGACCTCCAGCATACGACAGCGAAAACTTCAACTCGTGTTGTCACTGACGACACAACCGTGTGCATCCACCTCAGACCATAGGTCTCGAGCGCCTCATCCTACAGTGGGTAGTTAACCCATCCCAAGGTTGGGCATCACCCTTACCTTTCAACCCCAAGTGGATTCACATCACATCTCAAGAGACAAGTATAATCTCCCTACTCAAAAAATAGAACATCCCAAGGGATGAACGTCAACCATAAAAAAAAATTAAAAAAAAAGAAACAAAAAAACAAAAATTGAAAATAAGCAAAAAGCCTGACACAGAAAGCAACTGTGCTGCCGCACACCCACCCCCCCCCCACGCGGTTCCCAAGTCACCTTTCTCCCCTTTTCATTCCAAGTCACATCACCTCTCACATTCCAATCAGATCGCGCACGCCTCCCCGTGCAATCAAATCGCGCGCGGCCCCACATCATTAATTCATGTCCGACTCAATATCTAATCGCGCGGAACTTTCACCGCACTCCCCCAAATTGCGCGTAGATTTTGACTCACTTCAC